TGTCATACTCATTCTAATGAACCACCCTCTCTAGGAATTGATCCATCACATGACGATGTTGAACATGGATACTATGCTAAGGATGATGATAGTGACTTTGATCTTGATGATGCAATGAGACACTTTGGTATTATGGCAAATCTTCGGGGATACATGGCAGGAGGAAAGGAATGGGTCCTTGATAGTGGATGTACCGACCACATGACCGGAGATAAAGATATGTTTCGTGAGCTTGCTGAAAACGATGGACCTCGAAAGTATGTCACTTTTGGTGATAACTCAAAGGGTAAGGTGGTTGGCCTCGGTAAGGTGGCCATCTCACATGATAGCTCCATACAAAATGTCATGCTCGTTGAATCTCTTGGGTACAATTTACGTTCAGTATCTAGACTTGTTGATTTCGGTTTCAATGTCCTATTTATTGAAGTAGATTGCCAAGTGTTTCGTAGAGATAATCATAAAATGGTCTTTACCGGTATACATAGAGGTGATCTTTACATTGTTGATTTCACTAAAAAGGCTCAACCTAGAACTTACTGAATTGCTAAATCCTCTAAAGGTTGGTTGTGGCATAGACGGTTAGGTCATGTGGGCATGTGAAACCTTGATAAGCTTATTAAAGGAAATCATATCCTTGGCGTTAACAATGTCATATTTGATAAGGATAGACGTTGCAGCGCTTGTCAAGCAGGTAAACAGGTTGGAGGAAGGCATCCCGTGAAGAACATCACGACCAAAAGGAGGCCACTCGAGCTACTTCACATGGATCTTTTTGGTCCCAACGCGTACAAAAGTCTCGGTGGAAATTCTTTTGGTCTAGTTATAGTTGATGTTTTTTCAAGATATACGTGGGTGTTCTTTCTTGATGACAAATCGCAGGTCCAAAAGATCTTCAAAAACTTCGCTAGGAAGGCTCAAAATCAATTTGAAGTGAAGATCAAGAAGGTTCACAGCGACAACAGAACGCAGTTGAGGAACGCAAATGTGGACACCTTTCTTGATGAAGAAGGGATTTCACATGAGTGCTCGGCTATGTACACACCTCAACAAAATGGAGTTGTTGAGAGGAAGAACCGGACACTCATCGAAATGGCGAGAATGATGCTTGATGAGTACAAGACGCCAAAGCACTTTTTGATGGAAGCGGTTGAGACAGCTTGTCATGCAACAAATCGCTTGTATCTTCACAAGCTACTCGGCAAGACGACATACGAGCTCGTCACTGGTAACAAACCCCAAGTTGGATACTTTCGAGTATTCGGCTCAAAGTGCTACATTCTTGATAAGCATTGTCGTTCTAAATGTGCTCCTAAATCTCATGAAGGTTTCCTACTTGGTTACAGCTCAAACTCTCACACTTACCGTGTCTACAATAATTTCACCAGAAAGGTTGAAGAGACGGTAGATGTGAAGTTTGATGAATCCAACAGCTCGCAAGTAGAGCAATTGCCAATTAATGTAAGAGACAAAGACCCTTCGGAAGCAATCCAAGACTTGTCTATTGCCAAGATTCGTCCAACGGAGGTGAAGGAGAGTACCTCGTCCGTCCAAGTGGAAGCTTCCACCTCATGGCAAGGTGAACCAAGAGTTGATACGGAAGCATCCACAAGCGGGACACACCAAGACGAAGAAAACAAGGAAGTACACCAAGATGAACATCAACAACCTCCTTCTCCACCACGACAAGAGAATGACAATGTCAACATTGAAGAAGGCCAAGAAGAAGAGCAAGATGAAGAAGATGTTCCACCAAGATCCAAGCAAAAGCTTTCACGATTTCGAGCAAGAGTTTCCAAAGACCATCCCGTCGAGCAAATCTACAATGATATCCAAACCGGGAGAATCACTCGCTCTAAAACTCATTTGGCTAACTTTTGTGAACATTATTCATTCATCTCTAGCATTAAACCCATGAAGGTTGAAGAAGCATTGGAAGATCTGGATTAGATAAATGTTATGCATGAAGAGCTACACAACTTTGAGATAAACCAAGTGTGGAAATTGGTCGAGAAGCCCGACAACAACCACAACATCATCGGTACCAAATGGGTGTTTCGCAACAAGTAAGATGAAGATGGACAAGTAGTTCGCAACAAAGCACGTCTCGTCGCCCAAGGCTACACTCAAGTCGAAGGTATGGACTATGGTGAGACATATGCCCCCATTGCTAGACTTGTGTCCATTCGCATATTACTTGCCTATGCTAATCAGCATGATATCACCTTGTACCAAATGGACATTAAAAGTGCTTCTCTAAATGGTGAAATAGAGGAAGAAGTTTATGTTAAGCAACCTCCCGGCTTTGTCAATCCTAAGAAACCCAATCATGTTTACAAACTTCACAAAGCTCTTTATGGTCTTAAACAAGCTCCTAGAGCGTGGTATAAATTCTTGACCAAGTTCCTTATTGAAAAAGGCTTTGAAATTGGAAAAATTGATTATACTCTTTTTACTAAAAGGGTTAAAGGAGAACTATTTGTGTGCCAAATCTATGTGGATGATATTATATTTGGTTCAAATAACCCTCACTTTAGTGAAAAGTTTGGAAAGCTAATGTCGGAGAAGTTTGAGATGTCTATGATGAGTGAACTCAAATTCTTTCTTGGTTTGCAAATCAAGCAAACTAAGGAAGGTACCTTTGTCTCTCAAATAAAGTACACCAAGGACTTATTCAAGAAGTTCAATATGCAAGAATGCAAAGGTATGACTACACCCATGCCTACTAGTGGACATCTTGATTTGACCAAAGATGGTGAACCGGTTGATCAAAAGGTTTACCGCTCCATGATTGGTTTATTGTTATATCTATGTGCCTCTCGTCCCGATATTATCCTAAGTGTGTGCATGTGTGCACGATATCAAGCGGCCCCTAAAGAATGTCATCTTAAGGCCGTGAAAATGATAGTGAGATACTTAATCCATACACCAAACTTTGGCATTTGGTATTCTAAGAGGGCCTCTTTTAATATTGTTGGCTACTCCGACTCGAACTATGCCGGTGACAAGGTTGATAGAAAGTCCACTTCGGGTACTTGTCAATTTCTTGGTAGATCTCTTGTGTCTTGGTCCTCCAAGAAACAAAACTCGGTATCCTTATCCACCGCCAAAGCGGAATACATTGCCGCTGGTTCATGTTGTGCTCAATTACTTTGGATGACCCAAACTCTTAAAGATTATGGGATATATGTGAAACATGTTCCATTGCTTTGTGACAATGAAAGTGCTATCAAGATTGCTCACAATCTTGTGCAACATTCTCGAACTAAGCATATTGAAGTTCGTCATCATTTCATTCGAGATCTCGTTGCCAAAGGGGACATTATCCTTAAGCATGTTCGCACCGATAAGCAATTAGCAGATATATTCACTAAACCACTTGATGAGAAAGTGTTTTGTAGGTTGAGAGGTGAATTGAACATCATCGATGCTTCAAATTTGGAGTAGGAACTCCATTTGGATACATGCAAGACATGGGCCTAGACTAATCCTTGATGTTTCTCTTATGATGATAATCATATATCTTGGATATATTTGCACCCTTGCATGGTATCTAACCCTTGTAGGTAATTGGATGAATCTAAATCTATGAGATTGCATCTCACTCACATCTTGAGCAATCTCTACATCACCAAGTCTCTACACAATGGTGGTTGAAGACAAGGAAGCACGAAACCCTTCAATCATATCCTTTGACAAATTCTATATTAAGTTTCATGATTGTCATTTTGGATACACAAGTGCTTTTCCTTGCAAATCTAATCCATGTAGGTAGATGAACTCCAATTCCAAGTGGTGCTCCCAACTCTTGATAAGCTACATCAACCTTGAGCAACCCACACAAGTTCAACTACATGATCACGATCAACACCACCACCCAAGGTATGTTATTCCATCTTAGAGAAGCTTTACTCCAAGTCATGAGTCAAAGCAACTCAACAAGATGTGAATACATCAAAATTCTTAAACGAAAAATGGTAACTGATACGTCTCCAATGTATCTATAATTTTTGATTGCTCCATGCTACTTTATCTACTGTTTTGGACTATATTGGGCTTTATTTTCCACTTTTATATTATTTTCCAGCCCAGAATTGTTGTTTTTTCTTGCCTTTTTCAGTATTTCGAAGAAACAGAATATCAAACGGAGTCCAAACGGAATGAAACCTTCGGGAACGTGATTTTCTCATCAGATAAGACCTAGGAGACTTGGACCCTCCGTCGAGAAAGCCACGAGGCGGTCACGAGGGTGGAGGCTCCCCCTGTGCGCGCCCCCTACCTCATGGGCCCCTCGAAGCTCTACCGACATACACTACACCACAACACTACATTCCCAACAGTCAGGCTGGTCGGGAATACAAGTTTCGTCGACAAACAGACTGTTGGGAAAGACTATTGCTGACCAACGTCCTCTGTTGGGGAAAGTCCAGACGGGAAAGCCCTTTCCCGACCGACTGCTTGTTGGCTTTAGGTATCTTTCCCGACCAACAATCTGTTGGGCCTGACATGGGCCTTTCCTGACCAACGGTTCATTGGGGCTGCCATGGGCCTTTCCCGACCGATTATCTGACATGGTAAACTTTTCCCAACCAACTATCTGTCAAGGTTGCCATGGGTTTTCCCGACCGACTATCAGATAGGGTATTATTTCGCGACCAACATATTGTTGGGCCTGTCATTAGCTTTTACCGACCAACTATCAGATGGGGTTCAGTTTTGCCGACCAACATCTCCTAGCCCTCCCATAGCTGGATTTCACATTACCAACAGAATATTAATCAAGTTGCCTAACTCGTAATAGTGAAGTGCATGTCTTCCAACAATATTGAACCAGAACCAAACAATTCACATATAAACAACACACATGCATTAATTTTTACATATAAATAGTTCATCTGTTATGAACTAATGACCATCCAAGTTTCCTATAAACTAATGTAACTAATTAAATTCCTCACTTTATTTTCGGCAATTTGTCTCAGGGCACATCATTTGCCTGCCTTCTAGTGGGAAACTACAGCCCCATCCTCACATCCTTCCACCAAGATGCAGATCCTTGCATCATTCTCATACTTGACATCAAAACCTTCATTCTTCATCTCATTGGATAACATCCTCCAACTTGAACATCTGCAAGTCAAAATCCCCAGTTAATATTACACACGACAATTAGAGAACATGATATTTTCTCTAAGCTGCCTTGAATACGATTTCATGCCAAAGCAGCTGAAGAGAATTCATTATCACTGACGAGAAAAGGGGTACCCTTCCAAAAAAATAGAAGGATGCGTACCTTTATCTCCCTCTTTTGTGTTTCCTGTAAACCTCACCTCATGTTGCTATATCCTGAGATACAATGTACAATGTATCCTGGTCTATGTGCCCATGCAGGATAACTCTCTTCCAGCCATTCCTATAGAAATGAAAGGAGTAAAAAATTAGATGATTATGATCAGAAATGAAAGGAGTAAAAAATTAGATGATTATGATCAGGTAGCAGCAAAAGCATTTGCTAAGCATCTGCAACATGATAAAGGATATTTCAATTAGCATCGTGGGGCTTGCAGTGTACAGAAACCAAATACCATTGGAAACCAAAAGCATAAAATTTCAGAGATATGGAAGTGATCATGTTCAGCGGTTTGAATTTTTAATAAAATGTATAGAATAAGTTGTGTCCATGTTCATTTGCATCGATGTACAACCAGAATTCAGCAGACAACGGCATAGCAGGATTGACAAGCATCACACCAGCAAGCTCTAACATAATCTCACATCATTTCATTATTTCAGCTAGATGATGCACACCACAAAGCCAGAACAGCTACACATGGATTTGGTCTTTCACTGGACCAAGAGAAACAGAGTAAATGATTTAGTCTTTTCAATGGACATGCAAACTATAAATAAAGACAGTGGTACATGGCAGAATACCATGCCACTAGCTGAAACAAAATAAAATCAAGGAAGCTATACATTGGGTGATACACCATAGAAGCAACGTGCAACATTCTATTCTTCTATAAATCAAGGAAAAATGAAAATATTTGTAATTTATGTGATGCCTCCCCAGTTCACTGCATGGGAGAAAGAGGTTGTCAAGAATGCACTATTTGTGTGCTTAAGAAACAACTAAACAAAAAGGAGCTGCCAAAAAAATTCTAAGTATAATTAGATAAGAATTTTATAAGCAACATGTGCTAAAATACTCCTTAATTGTAGTTATAGAATACGACCATCATAATTTAAATGGTTCCCGTTAGATATCCTGCCCATGGAATATACATATATATTCATTCCACTTTCTTTTATCCAGATTCTTACGACATTTTTATTCAAACTTTCAGCAAAGAATTCTGTAAAATATTATGGGGCACAAAATATGCTATATAAATGAAGATACGTATGCCCACGGAAAGAAAGCTAGGTAACCCCTTTGTATCATCTAGTATAAGCTCTAAGGCACCTAGCATCAAATCTGAAGTAGAAGAACTATGGATAACAAACCAATTATTTGCATATGCAGCAACATCAACCTAATGTCCGTATATGGAGTAATGAAAAGCTAAGGTGGGTGCAGCAAGGCCACAAAGCTGGCTCTTCCTCGTCATCTACACCTACTGCAGCCACCTGTGCCTCGCACCATGATGCGGAGCTGCCATCATAAACACACAAGGGGGGAGCGGAGACACAAGGAGCTGGTGTAACCAGGAAGATAAATTAGAGATAAAACACAAGAGGATAACATAAGAGACATAAGTAGACGGGGAAGTAGAATCTTTTAAAAAGTGAAAACTATCATGGACACATTGCTGCATAAAGACAATAATAGTGTTTCATCCATTCAATCTCCGATAGGTTGTAAAAGAAGAACATTAAATATACTAAGTACTCCCCCGTCCTAAAATAAGTGTCTCAACTTTGTACTAACTTAGTACTAACTTTATACAAGTTGTACTAAAGTGGAGACACTTATTTTGGGACAGGGGTAGTAACATTCTGAATCCCCATTGTGAAATATATCGAGTAATTGGATGAGCTAATTCCAAAGTGATACTTCACAACATGACTTCAGTGCACAACATAAAGATCCCAAGAAAAAGATGTGCATGATCCCCATTTCCTGTAAACTCCCCTATAATTCATTTAGATTGAAGGGGAATTTGTCAAATAGGCATATAAACATGTCACTTAGAAGTTGAAATCAGTATGTAGTTCCATTTAATTCTAAAAGAAATCATAATTATAAGATGTAATTGTGTGATGGCATCTAAGATGAGCATACAAAACGTCAGTATAAATAGAAGTATATGAATTTTGGAAACTGACAATTTTGTTGTGCCAAACAACAAAGAGAGTACAAATCTGTCGAATGGATGGCAATATGTTCGGATGAGGTCACTCACACTTGTAAATTTAAAATCATAATGCTTATCAAAATGGTCTATGACTAAAAATCTGTCATATGTTTGTATGACATGGTGCATAATTAATTCTAGAAGACAATGCAATTGGCCATAGTATTTACATGCATGTTGGCTGAATCTGAAATAAGATAATGTTCATAATGGAAGATGAAATAGTTGCATACAAATCTCAATACGGAACCAGGAAGAAAGGCAGGGAAACCGAGCACCTCCATGTGATTGTAAATATAAAATATGTAAGAAAGAGAAGAGAGCTTGCTAGTTTACTTGCTGAATATGAATATACTTTACTTCGGATAACTGAATGTGTTTTGGATGCTGCAACCAAGCTTACTGTCTTTATCTTCTAATGGTGTATGGCTGGAGGAGAAAGTTTCAATGGAATTACAATTCAATATGAAAAGACTTTCGTGCATTCTAAAGATTATTCAGTTTAGGAAACTGCAAAAACAAATATCATTGCAAAAGCTTTTATATTGTCTTGAGGATACAATAGCCATGCATCTTTGATAGAAGTTCAGAATCTGGATGTATGCAGAATACCATAATAGCTGCAAAATTCCTTCATCCTCCCCTTTCAAGCTGCGGATAAAAATATGCTCGAGTGCTGCAAGAGCAGGGGCACTGGAGCTAGTGCCACTGCCAGCATCGTCGACTAAGATTTCTTCCTCACTGGGGACTGGACCATCAAACTTATCAAAATGCATCAACGACCAGAAATATTGGGTTGGCTTACCCAATAACAATCTTTTTCCATGAGGCTATAGCAACAACAACCTTTACAACTAGAAAAAGGATTTGGGTTAAGAAACACATAAATAGCATATCAACCAGAACAATTCAATGTGTAAATTAGCAAACAACTTCAGTGCATAGTAGTGCAGTATAAAGAGGTGAGAAAAAAGTGAACAGTAGCATGATGTAACCACTAAACATATTGGAGATGAGAACATAATTAATCTCTTGTTATTTGGCCTCACCTTTGCAACCGATGGTGGAAACTTTTTTTTCATACCACTGTAAGCCCGTCTCTTTCCCTCCTCTTGTTGATGTGTATAACTCCAAATTCAGTAACGATATGCTAGGTTTGTTCATCCTGTAGAGGTGGGGGGTCAATCCATTAAACGAAATCCACACATAATAAACACAAAAGGTTAAATCATTTGTGGTTGAAATCAGCACCGTGCAAATAGAGAGGGGGAGAGAGAACATACAAGGGACAAGAACCTTGAGGAGACGAGGTTGGTGCCTAAGCTGATGAGGCCGCTCACGGGAACCCAACCTGGAAAGGCCAGGAAGGGGTTGGACAACAGGAGCAGCAACGCCTACAGGAACTGCTTTGCCATGGCCATCATGATATTCTAGTACAGGGCAGTACTCCTCTGCAGCAAGTTTGAGCCCGGTCTTCCCTGAGATCTGACCAGTGCCCACCATGAGGACGAGGGTTCGAGCAGAGAGGGCACCTAGTCGGAGGAGAGGATTTGAGCGCGTGGGGGCGGGAGGCCAGCAGGGTCATGCGGGAGCGGCGGATGGTGCGCAGGCCTGGTCGAGAGACCGGCGGCGGCGGGAGCCCATGGCGGAGCGCGTGGGGAAGGAGAAGGGGAAATTAGGGATTTGCCTCGCGTCCGTGTGGTGACTTATATGTAGTGGGCGGAAACTTTCGTGGGCCTAGGCCAAATGTTGGCGCTAACATTTTCCTTTGCGCGCGCGCAGGCCCGTTCGCCACAGACGGTTGGTCGGCATTATTTACCGACCCACAGATCGATGGGCCTAAAAGCTTTCCCGACCGATCGTTTGACAAGGAATATTCTCTTATTCCCGACCGACTATGTGTCATTGTTCACAGGTTTTCCCGACCAACTGTCTATCACAAGTTTTTACGATCAACAGTCGGTCGGGAATAGCGACTTTTCCCAACACAGGTCAGTAGGGAATGCAGTGGCATGGTGTAGTGGTACTCCTTCCTCCTATATATACCTACGTATCCCCAAACGATCAGAACAGGAGCCAAACACCTAATTCCACCGCCACAACCTTCTGTATCCACGAGATCCCATCTTGGGGCCTGTTCCGGAGCTCCGCCGGAGGGGGCATCCACCACGGAGGGCTTCTACATCAACACCATAGCCCCTCGAATGAAGTGTGAGTAGTTTACTTCAGACCTTCGGGTCCATAGCTAGTAGCTAGATGGCTTCTTCTCTCTTTTTGGATCTCAATACAATGTTCTCCCCCTGTGTTGTGGAGATCTATTCGATGTAATCTTCTTTTGGCGATGTGTTTGTTGAGACCGATGAATTGTGGGTTTATGATCCAGTATTATCTATGGAAAATATTTGATTCTTCTCTGAATTCTTTTATGAATGATTGAGTTATCTTTGCAAGTCTCTTCGAATTATCCTTTTTGGTTTGTCCAACTAGATTGGTAGTTCTTGCAGTGGGAGAAGTGCTTAGCTTTGGGTTCAATCTTGCGGTGTCCTTACCCAGTGACATAAAGGGTTGCAAGGCACATATTGTATTGTTGCCATCGAGGATAACAAGATGGGGTTTTTATCATATTGCATGAATTTATCCCTCTACATCATGTCATCTTGCTTAAGGCGTTACTCTATTTTTACTTAATACTCTAGATGCATGCTGGATAGTGGTCGATGAGTGGAGTAATAGTAGTAGATGCAGAATCGTTTCAATCTACTTGTTTTGGACGTGATGCCTATATACATGATCATTGCCTAGATATACTCATAACTGTGCTCAATTCTGTCAATTGCTCAACAGTAATTTGTTCACCCACCATAGAATATCTATGCTCTTGAGAGAAGCCACTAGTGAAACCTATGGACCCCGGGTCTATTCTCATCATATCAATCTCTATCACTTTATTTACTTGCTTTGTTTTTACTTTGCCTTTTACTTTTCACTTTGCATCTATCTATCAAAAATACCAAAAATATTATTTATCATCTCTATCAGATCTCACTATCGTAAGTGACCGTGAAGGGATTGACAACCCCTAATCGCGTTGGTTGCGAGTTGCTACCATTTTGTGTAGGTACGAGGGACTTGTGCATGGTCTCCTACTGGATTGATACCTTGGTTCTCAAAAACTGAGGGAAATACTTACGCTACTTTGCTGCATCATCCTCTCCTCTTCGGGGAAATCCAACGCAGTGCTCAAGAGGTAGCAAGAAGAATTTCTGGCGCTGTTGCCGGGGAGGCTCACGCAAGCAAGTCAACCAAACCAAGTACCCATCACAATCCCTATCTCTCGCATTACATTATTTGCCATTTGCCTCTCGTTTTCCTCTCCCCCACTTCACCCTTGCCGTTTTATTCGCCCTCTCTTTTTCGTTCACCTTCTTCCCATATGTATCTTTGTTTGTGTTTCCTTGTGCCTTCTATATGCTTGCATCTTCGCTTGCTGAAAATCTATTGATATGGATCCACTTAAAGTGTTCTACTTGGATCATCTTTGATCCTTGTGTGCTCGTGCTGAAACCCCAACTAGCCTAGTTGATGGGAAATCTTTAGATGAGCATGCTCATTTTGTGCGTCATCGTTTGTCTGAAAAGGGGAGACTCTTACGGTATCATATAAATAGTTTTCTATGCTATGCTTGGATTCTTTGTGAAATGTGTGATTTTACTTGTTGCTCTAAGAACCCTAAAAAAACCATTCCTACCTATGTGAGTTCAATGATAATGAAATCTTATCTTCTTATGCAAGGGGTGTTTATAGTTACTATGATATCTAACAAATTGAAGAATTTTTCGTTTTTAAGGGTGCTCATGAAGTTGCTTCTTTGATTGAAAAGTATGATTTTGCTCTCAACAAATCTGAAAATTCCGTCATACTTAATTATTGCAATGAAAACCTTGCTCATAATGTCTATGTCCAAGAATTTATTGAAAGAATGACCATTGCTTTGGAAGAAAACAATGATATGCATGAATCTATAGATAATGATGATTTCGATGATTTGATTGAAATATCCCTTGATGAACATGATGCTTTCTATTCTTGTGGCCATGATGCCAATATTTATGAAAATGAATTTGCTATAGTTCCTTATGTTAAACATGAGATCGTTGCTATTGCACCCATACTTGGTAGTTCCTTCTATGAAAAGCATGATTGCAATGATTTTACTATAAATTCTCTTGATGTCAATTATGCTAATAATCTGCAAAACCCTAAGCTTGGGGATGCTAGCTTTACTATGTCTACTACTTGTCGCAATGATCATGATTGGGGTGATTCTTGTTATGATCTTGAAAATTTATTTAATCCCCATGATGAATATGAGATTGATAATATTGTTTGCAATAATATTGAAAGTGGGTTTGGAAGAGTGTCAACTTTAGATCCCATTATTTTGGAAGAGTGTCAACTTCGCATGCATGTGGATCGTGTTTAGAATAGGTTATGTGATAGCTATATTGTTGAATTTTCCTATGATCCTACATGTAATTATTATGAGATAGGAAAATATGGTTATAGAAATTTTCATGTTACTAAATTACCTCTCGTTATGTTGAGATTGCTATCGTTCCTTTCCGCTTCCTTGCATATGCTAGTTTTTGCTTCCTATGATAATTTGTTTTTCTATAAGATGCCTATGCATAGGAAGTATGTTAGACTTAGATGTGTTTGTCACGTGTTTTATGATGCTCTCTTTGTGCTTCAATTCTTGTCTTTCATGTGAGTATCATTAAAATTAGCAATGCCTAGCTAGGGGCGCTAAACGATAGCGCTTGTTGGGAGGCAACCCAATTTTATTTTGTGTTTTTTGTTTTTGCTTCTGTTTAGGAATAAATAATCCATATAGCTTCTGTTTGGATGTGGTTTTATCTTTTAATTAGTGTTTGTGCCAAGTAGAACCTATAGGATAACCTACGATGATAGTTGATTTGATTCTGCTGAAAAACAGAAACTTTGCACGCACGAATATAGTTATGTTAAATCACAGGAACGTGCTTTTGCATTGATTATTTTTGCTGCTGTTCAAGAAACAAATTTTACAGGACTTCCAATCTTGGTAGAATTTTTAGAGTTCCAGAAGATTGTGTTAGTTACAGATTTCTATAGACTGTTCTATTTTTGACAGATTCTGTTTTACGTGTGTTGTTTGCTTATTTTGATGAATCTACGGCTAATAAAATAGTTTATAATCCATAGAGAAGTTGGAATACAGTAGGTTTAACACCAATATAAATAAAGAATGAGTTCATTACAGTACCTTGAAGTAGTCTTTTGTTTTCTTTCTCTAACGGAGCTCACGAGATTTCTGTTGAGTTTTGTGTTGTGAAGTTTTCAAGTTTTGGGTGAATTCTTTTGATGGATTATGGAACAAGGTGTCGGGGAAACTGATCCACGAACACCTATGGGGCCGGCGGACCGAGCCCCTTTCGGTTCGGCGGGGGGCGGAGATCGCACGAAGAGCAGATCGAGGCGAAGCACACAAGCAGTTTACCCAGCTTCGGAGCTCTCCGGAGAGATAATACTCCTACTGCTGCTTGTATGATCGTATTGAGTTCTTGCTCGGGTGCGTTGAGTGCTACAGTACACACGAGACCGAGCGTGAGTGTTCTCTGGTTCCCGACTGAAGCGAACCCCCTCTCTGTTGCGCATGGCCTCCTTTTATATGTTCAAGGGGTCACCGACAGGTGGCAACGCAGAGAAGGGTAAAATGGAAAAGGGGTTGCGGTTGGTACAACCACCTGCACAGTGCATCCTACCTAACCCTGACGGCAGGGGACAAAGGCATTAAATGCCCGTCTGCGTCGCCCAAACAGTGTAAAAAGGGACCGTCAGGGGTGCCACCGCTCACCACGATGGCAGTCTTGTCAGCTTCGCATGCTACCGTGCACCGCTGGCTACACAGCCTCCCGCCACGCGCGCCTGGAAAGGCCCCCAGAGCGACACGTTGGTGGATGTGCTGGAGCGTGGGTACAGAGTGGTAGCCTGCCGCGGCAAGCGCCTTGCCGCGGCTGTTGTCTTGTCGCGTTCGGGAGCTTGTCGCTCACCGGGCCTTGCCCGGATGCGTGGCGCGTCGCGGCAAGTTTCTCGAAATGCCTTGGTTGGCCTTCCCGGCAAGCTCCTCTTGCCAGGGCCTTGTCTCCTTGGCTTAAATACTTTGTTCTTGAATGGCTCCAAGGGAACCACGGAGGACCTTGGCGGTCGCCCGGCAAGCCTTGCCGCGGGGTGCTGCAACTGCCCGTGCACAAGTTCGGGATACCAGGGTACCCCTACTCTAGTACACCGACAGGAGCCCCCGGGCCTGGGCCACACATGGTGCCGAGCGCTGTTGGGCCAGGCCCAAAGCAGGGCACGGGCACGCGCGGCCTGGGTCACGCCGTATCTTACTCTGTATCCACCGCGCCCTCCCCGAAGGGCACGCGTTGAATGCGGCATCGTGGGAGAGATCGTGGGTGGTT